GATCTGCCCGTCATCCTGATCAGCGGCCTCGTGAACCCGGTCGCTGCGCGGCCGGGCGGCCCGGCTGGGGGTGAGCGCCGTGCTCGAGAAGCCCCTGAGCGGTCCGGGGCTGGTCGAGACGATCCAGCACCTCTTCCATGGCAGCGCCTGATCCCGGCATCCTGCTGCCGCAGCGAATCGCCGGATACGTCGTAGCCTATTCGGGCCGCCATCAGATCGGCCTGGCCGGGCTGTCGGTGGCGGTCTTCGCGCTGGCCGCCGTTCCGCTGGAATTGCAGCGCCGCCTCGTCAATACGCTGGTCGAGCAGGGATCGTTCACGACCGTGATCTGGCTGGCGGCCGGTTATGCGGCGGTCACCCTCGGTGAGCAGATCCTGAAGCTCCTGCTCAATGTCTACCGGGGATGGGTTGCCGAGGACTCGGTGAGAAACCTGCGGCATGTCGTGTCGACCGCTGCCGAACGGTCCGACCACATCGGCTCGATCGATGAGATCGGGGCGCAGATATCGATGATGCTGGAGGAGGCCGAACCGATCGGCGGCTTCACCGGCATAAGCCTCTCGGAGCCATTGCTGCAGGCTGGAATCCTGGCGAACCTGATCGGCTACATGGTCATGCTCGACTGGCGGCTCGCCCTGCTCGGCCTCGCATTCTTTCTGCCCCAGACGGTCTTCGTTCCGCTTCTTCAGGCCGGCATCAACCGCAGGGCGCGCGAGCGGATTCTCGTGAAACGGAGCATCAGCGCCGGCGTGGTGGACAATGTCGTCGCGCGCGCGGCGGGCTGGACCTGGGCCTACGGCCCGATCGGCCGTGTCTTCACGCTCAACATGGGAATCTACCGGCTGAAGTTCACGCTCAACCTGCTGATGAACATGATGCACCACCTCGGCGTCGCCTCGGCCCTGTGCCTGGGCGGATGGCAGGTGCTGGAAGGCCATATGGAGGTCGGGACCGTCGTGGCCATCGTCGGCGGCCTCGGCAAACTGAACGATCCGTGGGGCGACCTGGTGAACTGGGCGCGCGAATTCGCCGTGGTCGGCGTGAAATATCGCCTTTTCTCGGAGTTCGTGAACGGCCTTTCCCGGCGGCCTACGTAGAATCCCTTAGTCTAAGACCCGAATGGCAGCAGCCAGGGGCACACGATACCCAACTGACGGTTCGATCGATCACCGTCAGGGGGACATGATGCAAACAACCGCCCTTCGCCCGCAGTACCCGACGCCGGCAATCGTCTTCAAGGGCC